CTTCCTTAGATTGTGCACTGCAAAACTCTCTCAGACAAACCAAACTCAGTCTGGTGGTGTTTCTGCTGTTATCTGCAAACTCCGAGTAGTCCCTTTGTTGAGAACTACTTGGTAAAGCCCTGGAAGCTGATCTGGGTCATTTTTATGGATATTCATGTAAAAGTCTGTCTGAACTCTTCTCTCTGTAATTGTTAATAAAAAGATTACACTATACAACTTTGTGTAGTATAATAAGCTGATTAGTTGGATGTGGTAATTTATGGCTATAATCCCAGCATTTAAAAGGCTGAGGCGGAAGGATTGCAGAGATCAAGGCTAGTTTGGGCCACATAGCAAGACCCTGTCCCTGTCACAAACACGAGAGACTTAAGACAGTTCAGACACTACACTGAGTAGCATCTGTACAAAAAGGACAACAGTGACAGAGGAAGACACAAGGATGCAAGGAAAGCCAGTATTGAGCAAATTTGTTTACTGAGGCTGCCTGGAAGCCACATGCCTGTGGTTTCTCATCCTGGCTGGGAAGCTTGCTCTGTTTCCTTGCGGGGCTCGCTTAACCTCCGAACCCTCTTCCCCATCCCTCCCAGGGAAGCTGTGGAGCTGTGTTGGCTCTTGTCTGTCTCAGTTCAACCAAAGGCTTTATCATCATCTTTTAAAACTGCCAGGGAAGCGAAGGCAACCAAAATTAACGTAAGACTCACTGCTCCAAGGAACTGTTAGGGAAAGCCACGCGGACTGAACCCAGGGAGTAGGGATCGGGCATGACAACTTTCTCCCTGTCCTATCTCACTCTGATTTCAGTTTAGAGAGTGAAAAACCTTTGCAGAGTAATAATAAAGCCAGGTATAATAGTGAGGCATACCTGCAAATAAACCCGCATGCAGGAGGCAGAGGCAGGAGGATTACCGCAAGCTCAAAACCAGCCTGGGCTATGTAGCAAGTTTCCATCTCCAAGAGACAAACTAAGGGGCTTGGGAGAGATGGCCTAGGGAGTAAACTCTTCCCCTGCATTCTTGATCACCTGAGCTCAGGTGCCCAGAACTCACAGGAAGCTGGGTGTGGGAGTCTGCAACGGCAATGCCAGATAGCTTGGTGTGTGAAACCCTGTGTCACGCGGGAAGATAAAGACCGATGCCCAAAGCTCTCCCCTCCCTCTGCACACATGCCTCACTCAAGTCACACACACGCAAAGATTTCTCTTCGCAAAGAAAAACAAAACAAACCAACTGCCAGGCAGTGGCGGCGCACACCTTTAATCCCAGTACTCGGGAGGCAGAGGCAGGTGGATCTCTGAGTTCAAGGCCAGCCTGGTCTACAGAGCTCCAGGACAGCCTCCAAAGCTGTGCAGAGAAACCCTGTCTTGAAAAACCAACAAACAAAAAACCCAAAGCCCTAAATAAATAAGACCACTGAATCTGGATAGAATCACTTCCACATTTCATGACTGCTGTCTGGAAAGGAGGAAGAGATTTCACGTTCCCCCAACTCAGATATCATACACCTGTCAGAACGGCTAAAATGAGAGTGCAAACTTTTACAGCCACTTTGGAAATCAGGATGGCGGTTTCTCCAGAAAATGGCTAAGGAATCTAAGCACTTCCTTAAGTGTTTTTCAGCTATTTTAGATTCCTCTATTGAGAATTCTGTTTAGTTCTGTACCCCACTTTCTAGTTGAATTATTTGGTGTTTTGGTAACTAGCTTCTTGAGTTCTTTGTATATTTTGGAAATCAGTCCTCTATTTGATGTGGGGTTGGTGAAAATCTTTTCCCATTCCGTGGGCTGCCGTTTTGTCTTGTTGTCTGTGTCCTTTGCCTTACAGAAGCTTCTCAGTTTCAGGAGGTCCTATTTATTGTCGATCTCAATGTCTGTGCTACTGGTGTTGTGTTCAGAAAGTGATCTCCTGTGTCAATTCGTTCAAGGGTACTTCCCACTTTCTCTTTTAAGGGGTTCAATGTGGCTGGATTTATGTTGAGGTCTTTGATCCATTTGGACTTAAGTTTTGTGCGTGGTGATAGATGTGGATCTATCTGCAATCTTCTACATGTCCGAATCCAGTTATACCAGGACCATTTGTTGAAGATGTTGTATAATTTTAGCTTCTTTGTCAAAGATCAGGTGTTCATAACTGCATCACTCCACTATATTTCATAATAAGGAACTGCACAAATAACTGTGACAAAGCAAATGATTTAGGATAATACTGTTTTGTTTTGCTTTTACCCACTATAAGTTGGTGAAATGACAATGTGGACAGTTTCAAGTTACTTAACTAAATGCTTTTGGAAGGCTTAAGCAAGCAGTTTTACATGAAGTTGCCATGTAATTCTATCAACCCTCAGAGCCAAGGGGTCATAGATACACTGGATAAGGCGGTGAATACCTATAATTTAAGTGATCAGAGGATGAGGCAGGGGGGAACAATGATTTAAAGCAAGATTTGCTATAAAGCAAGTTCAAGGCCAGCCTGAGGCACATACATGAGACCTTATCTCAAAAAGATCTGGGGGGTGTAGACTAATTAAGAGTGTATACAAAGCCTTAGGTTTAATCCCCAGTACTGGGGAAAACCAGGCATGACAGTGCGTGGCTGTAATCCCAGAATTTGAAAGGTGGAGGCAGGAGAATCAGAAGGGCAAAGTCATCTTTGTTCGCATACATCTTGTGCTGAGGCCAACCTGGGGACATGAGTTCCTGTCTCAAAGAGAGAGACAGAGACAGAGAGACACCATAGAAGAAGAACCATTAAGTGGGTAGATATGGCTATTTCTGGTCCAGCCAGTTTTCCTTTCCCTTTCTGTAAATGCATATATAATGTGGAAAAACAAAACAGCAATCGCATAGTTTTCTGCAAACCTTCTATGGGCTTAATGCACGTGACTCCAAAACTCATACACTGATGTGGAACCCTAAACTGGTGGCTTTGAGAAGCAAGGCTCTTGGCAGGTGGTGAGGTCATGAGGACAAACCCCAGGGAACTCTAACCTTCTCAAGCGAAGACATGGAAGGCATAGTCTGGGAACCAGAATGCAGAGCCTCACTAGATACATAGCCTGCAAGAACTTTGACATCGGACATCTGTTCTAGAACTATGAGAAATAGCTATCTGTTCTAAGTTACCTGCTTTCTAGTACTTTGCTATGGCAGCCCAGATGGGTCAAAGAAGGCTTCATTCCAGAACAGTGACTTTTTAATTATCTTGTCATATTTCTTAATGTGTGAACTAAGGGTCTCAAATATCAACTTTCTCATGTTCCAGCTCTCTCTGCTTTTAAAAATTCACAAGTCTCAACTTCCTGCTACTTGCAAGTGTTCTGGGCTGAGCTTGTAATTGCTGCAAGTGTTCTGGGCTGAGCCTGTAATTGCTGCAAGTGTTCTGGGCTGAGCCTGTAATTGCTGCAAGTGTTCTGGGCTGAGCTTGTGATTGCTGCAAGTGTTCTGGGCTGAGCCTGTAATTGCTGCAAGTGTTCTGGGCTGAGCTTGTGATTGCTGCAAGTGTTCTGGGCTGAGCTTGTAATTGCTGCAAGTGTTCTGGGCTGAGCTTATAATTGCTGCAAGTGTTCTGGGCTGAGCTTGTAATTGCTGCAAGTGTTCTGAACTTGCTTATAATTGCTGCTTCAGTTTGCCTTTGTGATGTTTTGCTATAGAGGACATTACAATCGCCTGTGGCTACGATTCCAAACATTCTGTCTTGGTATCTCCCCTGCTATCAAAGCAATGAAATCCTTGCTTCGTTGTGGGTCAGCTCAAATTGGAGACAACGTCTAAGGAGGACTGGCCAGGCGCTATTCCATTTCTGCTTTCAGAATTCCATTACTACCAATCTAAAGCAAATGATAGTCAGTTCTTTAGCTCCCAGGGAAAGAGTGGTTCCCACCACCTCTAAAGGCAGTCCCGCCCAATATTAAAATCCGCCACAGCGAAGTCATACACAGTTGTATAAAATACAATTTTCATTGTGTTGTAGTTTTATTAATTACAAATTCAGTTCCAAATGTATTAGCTGGGCATAATGATACACACCTGTCATCCTGGAAGATAGAGAAGACCTTGAATTCAGGACCACCCTGGGCTATATAGTAAGACTCTGTTCTAAAAACCGCATATATATTAAATGTAATTTTAAAATATCTTATTTCTTTATCCTTACTTTCTACAAAAATATCTGTAAATGCCATTTTATTGTATCCTAAAATTTGCAAAGCCAATAATATTATGTAGGAAACATACTTTGTAAGTTTTCTTTTCTAGAATGTTAGGGGAGAGTAACTGAGGAAATATAGGGAAGGTACAAAACATATATTCATGGCTCTAGAGGCCAGGCATAACTATTAATGCTAGGATTTTGACTCCTGCTAGTAGGTTTTGAAGTCCCCCTCTCCAGGGGTGAGTCCTCTTTTGAGTCGGGGTTCCTACTCTGGTGTTACCTTTGCCCAAGTAACCTTAAAGTAGATGGAACTGGGGTTCACAGAGGTTTCAAGTCACTCACCGCATGAAGGTGCCTGGGTCTATAAATGACTGAGCCCTGTCTTTTCCCGACACCTACTAAAGTTTTATCACATATTAATCACTGCTCTGCACCCGGGCTCCACATTTTTCCCTGTGTTCAGCAGCTCTAGACGCCTACAAATATGTTTTGCTATAAATTACTGGCACCGTTTCTGTTGATATTCGGCATAATCAAACATTTGTAAGCATGCTGCCTTTTCAATCTGCTCGGCTGAGGCACTTTACCTGATCTTTCATTAAAGCAATCAAAACACGTGCTGTGTCGCATCTAATGAATGTTGCATGTATGATTAAGTGCTTTCATTCATATTGCAAGTTTGATTTAATGTAATCTGCCTTTCAGACAGCCATTAGCCTAGCTCCTATGTGAATTCGATTAATTGGCTGAATTCTTCCAGATGTCCATTAAGCATTACAGGAATTTGTGGAAACAGCAGGGACTGTCTAGCACAGAACCAAACAATGAAATGTTATATTGCTGCCATGACTTACCAAAAGCTGGATTCATTTCCATTAATAAAACATCTGTACTCCTGCGCAGCTATGCATTGAGATGCATTTATTTTATATGTTTATTTCTCTTATGACTGTAAAAAGATGTTTAAACAGAAGCACATTTGCTGATATGTAGACTCGAGGCTTGGCAGGTGCTGGCTGACAAAAAAATTCAGTTCTCCAAGTTTCCAGTAGGTCCTAGACAGAAGGAAAGACACCAACAGACACCTGTTTGAAGCCAACTTTAAGAACACGTGAGATTGCTTCAGTGGGAAGGCTTCAAGTAGTATTAGAGACATACTCTGAAAAGGATTTCATTGTCCTGCCACTCCTGTCCAGTCTTCAAGGGAAAGGGGCAGAGGTGACTCTTTTTTCCCCTAATAGAGTTGTTGATTAGCAACGAGGTGGAAGGGATGGTGGAGTCAGCGTTCACAGACCAAAGTCATGAGGGGCAGTAGGTGACTGGTGGGAGAGCCTGGAGGCGGCCTCCTCACGAGGGAGTGGATAGGTAGGGACTGCGGGGTCGGAGGGGAGGCCTTAGGCCGCCTCTACTCAGTAGGCATGGTTAGAGACGAACAGGGACTTGTTGGCTGCTGCCCCTGACTGACCACTTGGAGTGTACTTTCCTTGAGAAGCGAGGCTGTTGGCCAGGGCACGCTTAATGTATTCCTCCTGGGCAGCCTTCGCGTTCTCCTTGTTCCCACCCCAGGCCTTCAGGGCAGAAGCCTGCAGGGCTCGGCCATAGGAGAAAGTCAAGGCCCACGGCTTCAGCAGGGGGCACTTGTTGATAGCATTGAGGTTGATGGACGCATCTTCCTCACTCTGCCCTCCAGACAGGAAAGCGACCCCAGGGACAGCAGGGGGCACTGTGCGACGAAGTGCTGTCACAGTTGCCATGGCGATCTCCTCACTGGAAAATTTCCGGGTGCAATCATGGCCCGGGGTCACCATGTTGGGTTTCAGCAAGGTGCCTTCCAGGTAGACATGGTGGTCGCTCAGAGCCTTGTAGACAGCGGCCAGTACCTTCTCAGTTACATACTGACAGCACTTCAAGTCGTGGTCCCCATCAGAGAGGACTTCGGGCTCCACAATGGGTACAATGCCATTCTGCTGGCAGATGCTGGCATAACGAGCCAGGACATTGGCATTTTCCATGATGGCAAGGGCTGAAGGGGTGTGTTCCCCAATCTTCAGCACACAACGCCATTTGGCAAAGTCGGCTCCATCCTTCTTGTACTGGGCACAGCGTACAGATAGTTCATCTAGCCCTTGGGTGGTGGTCTCGCCATTAGTTCCTGCCAGGGGCACCACGCCCTTGTCTACCTTTATACCCACAACACCGCCCTTGGACTTGATAATTTGGGGGAAAGGGCGTCCATCATCCGCTTTCTGGTACAGTGTCTCGTGGAAGAGGATCACGCCCCCAATACAGGGGTTCACGCGGTCATCAGCAGTCAGTAGCAGCTGGCGGTAGAAGCGCCTGTTCTCCTCCGTGTTCTCGGTGCCAATGGACTGCAGCCGCTTGGCGATGCTTCCGGTGGACTCATCCGCAGCCAGGATGCCCTTGCCCGGAGCCACAATTCGGTGAGCGATGTCAGACAGCTCCTTCTTCTGCTCTGGGGTCAGTGTTGGGTGTGGGTAGGGCATAGTGCTGGTGACTGCGAGCTCCTGGCACAGAAGGGGGCCGGGTCGGCTACTGGGTGCCGTGGCAGGTGGGCGAGAGCCTGTGGAGCGAACGTTGCCAGGGTCACCAGAACTTGGATGTGTAGTGTGTTCTGAGAGAACACAGCCTATTCAGCGTGCGGGGGTGGGGAGGGGATCCACCTGTCTCTGCCTCCCGAGAACTGAGATTAAAGATAACCACCACCGCCCAGCTCAGAAGCTAATACTCAACAAGAAAAGTGACAGTTTCTGACCGAAATTAAAAGAGTAACACAACAAATACTTTTTGTGTTTCTTTCACAATGATCTACAAGTTAATTTTACTAAATGAAGCTAAAAATCTTGGGCTGGAGTTCAGCAGTTGAAAACACTCACTGCATTGCAGAGAACCTGAGTTTGGGTCCCAGCACCCACATGGGATGGCTCACAACCACCTGTAACTCAAGCTTCAGGGCATCCAACACCCTCTTCTGGCCTCCTCGGACACTGCACACATGTGGACACACACACACACACACACACACACTTATACACACAAAACAAAAGCAAGCCTCTTTAAGCTAAACATATTCTAATGGCATACCTTTATGAAACAATGTTTTCATAATTAAATATATCAAGCTACAAAGACACAGTATAAAATTTAAGACAAATACCTTGTATTTCTTTTTAAAAACTTTATTTGTGTGTGAGAGTATGAGTGTGTGAGTGCATGAGTATGTGAGTGTGTGAGACTGTGTTTGTGTATGTGTGAGAGTGTGAGAAAGTATTGTGTAAGTGTGTGCGTGTGAATGTAAGAGTGTGAATGTGCATGTGTTATGTGTGAGTGCATCTGTGTGTGAGTGTGACAGTGTGTGTATGTGAGTGTGTGTGAGTGTGTATATGTGAGTGTGTGAATGTACATATGTGAGAGTGTGTATGTATGAATGTGTGTGAGTATGAGTGTGAGAGAGTGCGTGAATATGTGTGTGAGTGTGTGTGAGTGTGTATATGGGTGAGTGTGTGAATATAAGTGTGAATGTGCATATGTGGGAGTGTATATGTGTGTATGAGTGTATGTGTGAGAGTGTGTGTATGTTAGTGGGAGAGAGTATATATGAGTGTGTATGAATGTAAGTGTGTGTGCACAATGTGAGAGTGTGTATGAGTGTTGTGAGTTTGTATGTGTGTGTGTGTGTGAGAGAGAGAGAGAGACAGAGAGAGAGAGAGAGAGAGAGAGAGAGAGAGAGAGAGAGAGAGAGAGATTTATTGAATTGACTCCCATCGTGCTATGGTCCTGCTAGTTCATAGAATAGGCTGAGGATCTAGTAGTTGCTCAGTCCACTAGACTGAATGTCTCAGCAGTCATGGTCTACTGCTAAAGGTGGAGGATTCCTGGAGAGCTGGTCTTCAGTCTACAAAAAGCTGCTTCTAACATCAGCAGAGCAATGCTGCAGCAACAGGACAGATGAAATTGCCTACGAGAGTAAGGGCAAGTAGGCAAAAAGCAAAAGCTTCCTTCTTCTATGTCCCTTTGACTGAACAGTCACCAGAAGGTGACACATTCAGGGTTCCTTTGCTTCAAGCGATCTCATCAAGGAAATCCCTGCCATGAGTACCCAAAGTTTTGTTCCAGTTGATTCCAAAAGCAGTCAAGTTGACTATCAAGATTAGCCATCGTACTAAGATAGTCATATTTTAGAAGATATATTCTTCTTACTTGAGTAGAGTCCAGGTGCTTCCTGAGATATCCATTTAGAGGATATTGTTCAGGGCTAAATATTTCCATGAGTGAGTGTAAGTTTCCTGACATTTAGGGACTTGATTTGTTCCTCAGTGAATCCTAAAAATACTGGGGACTTGAAACACTACTAGATACAACAGTTCCGGGCATGGCAGTGTTAGACACACAGTACTCAGCTCCAGGCACAGCCTTGCAGCCTGAGCTGTTACAGGAAGATCAGGAGTCTATTGCCAGCCAGTCAATAAAATACTTTTTGTTTTTGAGGGTTTTCATTGATTTGTTTTCTGAGTTAGGAACCTCACTATTTTATCCAAGCTAGCCTTGCACTCGTGGCCTCGAATATTCCCAAGTAGCTAGCCAAGACAAGCTCACACCATCACATGACTTGTATGTTGAGTGAATGAATGATTAGCATAATGACCTCTGTTTCAGTTTTATTCTCAGAGGAAACCTTAATTTCAAAGTCAACCCTAGTTGAACTCCCATGGGTTCACCATGAGAAGCAAAATCAGTCACTATTTTAGCACTTTTGCAATTTGGGTGTTTCGTCTTGTTAGAAACTTTTTATTTTTAGGATCAGTCTTTAACGAGTACATGTTTGGTGAGATCCCAACAAAAGGATAAGATATTTCTGCTTACTCAAGAACAAACTGGAAGAGACATGGCGGTGGCTGGTGCCATTTCTTGCGGTGCTTGTGATTGGCAACTAGACCCGACAGCTTTGCTGTCGCTTTTGCAAGCGGTGTCGCCAGATACTCCTGCATCCACAACAAACACAAGGGACAAGTTCTTCAGCTTCTGCAGAAGAAACGCTCCAAAGTTTCCTGAAACTTCAACTAATTAAAAATGAAATGCAGCCAGCGAAGCGCTGGTCATTTCTAATTTGCAATGTTGCTTTGCTTCCAAGGTAAATGTGGACAAGTCACGTGGACAAGTCACAACTTCTTTTGATGCCTGAGGGACTGAAAAAAATTAAATCAGCGGGATTGGCTATTGATGTTTTCTAGCAAATGTTTTGAAATCTCTGCCTTTCATCCATCTTGTAGGAAAGCAGGATTGCTTTCTGAGCCTTCAAAGATATTAATTCCTTTAATAAATCCTTACTTGGACATTGAGAACTTCCAAGGGTTAGGTTTCTGTAGCAATCTCTCCATCAGGGGTGAATGTTGCCCGCAGGCAGATTCCCAATTTTTTTCCAAGTATCATCACTCTTGGTCTGAAATTGGGGTGAGCTAACATTATAAGAGATTAAGCACACCTTCTGCCCAGCATTTTCAGAAGATTTCCTTATTATATTCCTTACAAAGCAAATTTGAGACAGGCTGCTTGCCTTCCTGGAGATCAGCACTTAATGAGATAATGTCGAGACACCAGCAACTACTGCTCCAACCTCTGCTCTCTGACCCCTGTCCTAGCCAATGCCATGGAGAGGGTGGGGGCTGGGGCTGGAGGGAGTTGGGGAAGGAGCTGGGTAAATATGATTGAAATGCATTGTATGAGTGTATGCTATTCTCAAAGAATTAATACAAGTATCATATTTTTAAAAAACAAATTACGGCGAGTGAGAGATTCCTAAAATAAAATGGATAGTGTCAAGAAAAATAAAGTACAGGAAATTGAAACAAAAATGTTCCACCACAGCAGTGAGTGTACGTGCCTGATGAGGTGGGGATTCTTCTGCAACAGCGCCCATCCTATAGTAGACTTTATCGGAAGCTTATGCAAAGATAATAGACATAAGAAGGTACCACCTTGCTCTTAGGAACAGCATTCTGTCAGTAGCTTTCATTAAAGGAGAGCATCAAGGACACTGGTCTAGCATGTTGTCCTATGGTATTTGCTGCAAACTCCTGTTTAAGAAGGAGATACGGATGTGCCTCTGCTGAAAGAGTGGACACCTTTTCTTGTTGTCCAAGCCATTAAAAAGAGAAAAGGGAATACACAGACTGACTTTATGGGAAAGAAAGATGCTTGATGACATATAACCAAGCTAGCATGGCGCTCCTGAACACTAAACTAAAGAGAGGGTGTCCATGAACCCTTTACCTATAGAAAGTGGAGTGCTATGTGGGGAGACAGTGTTGTAATGGCCAGTTCAGAAGACAGGATCAGAAGTGTTCTGGAGGACAGGTAGAAAGCCTTCTCTCATTGGGGTTCTGGTCTCTCTTCATGATGAGGTCTCTCCTTAGCTGTCATTCTTTATGATTTACTTTAGTTTGATATTTCCAAAAATCAAATGTGCTAAGCAAATTAACCCTACAAAAAATCAATATTGTCACATTACTAACGACTACTGGACTACATATTTAGAGATTTATTTCATTATGCCAAGTTTTTCTTACTAATGGTGTGAATTTCAAGTTGAGGCTGTAGCTCATGGCGGACAGCTTGCTTGGCATGCACAAAGCTCTAGGTTTGATCGCCAGCTCTGTGAAGGTAGGGAGGGCAGGCACATGCGTAGAGTCAGAGGACAACTTTCAGAAGGGTTCTCACCTCCCACCTTGTCAAGGCAGGGTCTCTCCCGTGTTTGCTGCTGTGCTCTGTAGGCCGGGCTAGCTGGTCAATGAGCTTCTGGTGTGACGCTCAACTCTTTACCACCTGTTTCACTGTGGAAGTGCTGGAATTATAGATGCCACCTATACCTCATCTGACTTTTCTTGTAAATGGGTTCTGGGCATCTAACTCGGGTTATCAGTCTTGTGTAGCCTGTACTTTTACCCACTAAGCCATCTTCCTGGATTTTCAAAAACTTTTTGTTTTGTTTTTTGGAGACAGGGTCTCACTGCGTAACCTTGTCTGGCCTGAAGTTCTCTATGTAGACCAGGGAGGTCTTGAACTCAGAGAGTTCAATGCATTTACAGGCATTCTCACACTCATACACATGTACATGCAGCATGACATTACACACCTGTAGAGGTCAGAGGAAAAATTGTGAGAGTTAGTTTTTTTTCCACTGTATGGATCCCAGGAACTGAACACAGGTTATCAGTCTTGGCAGCAAGTGTATTTACCCACTGAGCTATCTAACTAGTCTAGGGCCCCAGATTTTTATAAGTTCTACAAGTAAATTGTAATTTCATTATCAATAATAATTTTTACCATAATGAAACCCATAATAACTGACTCAGTGTTCAAAAAAAACCCCTACCATCCCACATAACATACTACTGGGAAGAATCCTAGTTTCAATCACTATTTTCCCTGAGAGCTTATGATTCTCCAAGTGTGAAAAAAATTCTAATCATCTTAAAAAACAAATAAAAATAAAAACTCCATAGATGTAGCCAAGGTAGTGAACTAAAGACTCACAGGAGTCTAAACACGAATTCCTGAAACCCTGAAGACAA